AGAGAGAGAGAGAGAGAGAGAGAGAGAGAGAGAGAGAGAGAGAGAGAAAGGGCTTTTAATATGGGGTCAAAAGCTGCTGACAGCTGAAAGTAATCCACTCTCGTGAACCTGATCAAGACAACAGAAATAGGTCAAAGGACTCTCCAGCTATACAGCACCTAACTGAGTCAGTCTGCTGCATACCAACGTGTTTAGCTCTTTGCATGTTTGACCTCACCGTGCGGATGGCAATAGGGATGCCAGAGTCGTCCACGGGGCCGATGCCTTCGTAATGAGGGGCTTTGATAACGGACACCCTTTTCTCCTCCTCTGAGAAGCGAGCGATGGGCACCGTGCTGCTGACGCTGGTGTGGCCCAGCACCACAGACTCTCTGGTAAGTGACTCGCTGCCCTCTGAATATGAAGCGAAAGAGGAGAGAAAAGAGAATGTCACAATGTCAGTTGTACCGACTAATAATCAACACAGAAATCTAACAAGGAATGAACAAGTCAACACTGACTCGTCCCAAGATTAACTTGTCTTTTGTACATCTCAAGATGGGAGCAGTACCAGAACAACATTTTATACTGTGCACCACAACTGAATGGCTCTGTCTTCTACTAATAGGTCTCCACATATCATATCCTGGGCTTTTAACAAATACATGTACCATTAACTATTTATAAGGGCAATAATGAGAAGATTAATTCACAAATATCCCTTAATGGATTCTTAAAAGATCTACACATTCTTGGAGATTTTAGCACTTTAATAATCACATTAATATAATATATAACCAATGACGAGTTATTGATTTTTATGGTTGTGAATTAAATAGGTTGTGAAACATGTCAAGTACTTGTACTTCACCAACAAAGCATAATGACCTCACTAATCATGCATCCGCTGGTGAAACTGGAAAAATGCAAATAAAATATAAAATAATGGATGTCATCAAACTTCCTTTTTTCACATGCTACAACAACTGAAATGCTAATTCACGGTCTAACGCAGATCAGAAATAAATCTCTCTCTAAACACAGCTGGTTCCACAATTCCACAAAGCTTTTATGTAAGACATCTCTGTGTCCCGTTTGATCTCAACAATCCTCCGAGGAACATATTAACAATATTAGTGAGACTGCATTTTTCCACTTAAGAAACACTGACAATATTCGTACCATTCTTTCCACGGCTGATGCTGAAACACTTGTGCGTACATTTGTCTCATCTCGGTTAAATTACCGGAATACACTATTCTCTAGTTTACCAAAATCAATATTAACAAACTACAACTTGGACAAAATACTGCTGCTAGGATATTCACCAAAACTAGAAAATGTTATCATTTTACCCCTGTTCTTATTTCACTGTCTCCCTGTACATGCTGGATCAGACTTCAATATCCAACTTTTGACTTATTAAACATTACACGAACTTGCACCATCCTACTTATCACCTCTAAATCAGTTGTCATATACCTACTGGGGCTTCACAGTCTAAAAAATGGTCCTCGGCTCAAATAAAAAGGGGTAAAAGATCATGACTCACCTGAACTCCGGCTCTGTCTCTGGAGCCCAGTGTGGAGTGAGGTGGGGGGAGGAGGATAGGATAGAGGAGAGAGGGGCCTCTGTGGAGCACTCCCATTCATAGCGTGAGAGAGGACCTGGCCCTAAGAGTGACCCACAAGCCAGAAAACAGAGACAATCAGTCACTACCAATCACAAACGGCAGCAATAACCTGCACATGTCCTTTGATTTTAGGGAGTATTGCTGCTCTGCCCTCCAACATTAGATTATGAGTGCAAGTATAGCGAAACAAAAGAATAATTAAGAAATAAATCCATTATTAGTCATCATGTTGCTATAAACATGTAGATTTAAAGAGGTAGAGGAGGCTATTGTGGAAATGAATGTACATGTAGGCAGATGTTGGGGCTGATGTGATTCAGGAGCTGCTGCATCTGAAGTGACTGTGTGATGTAAGAACAGTTAGTGAGGGGAAGGGACACTTATTGAATCACTCCACTTCAAAAACAGACAGAAGAGATTAAAACAGTGACGGTAAGCAAACACAAGTCTTTCGGATTCACGTACATTTCATAATACATTAGTTGTGACGAACAAGACAATAGACACAATGGGAGGCTCCTCCCATTCAACACAGGAACATATCATTTCATAGGACAATAGGGTAAAAACACAGCATTTTAATTTGAAGGCAAGTGTGTTTTGATCAAAGATTCATGAGAGCTCCGAAACCAATGGCTAGCAAAGATGCTGCTATGGCAGCAATTTAAAGTGACGAACTGTGTCACTGTGTTGACAACACTTATTGCCAGTGTATGGAATACACTTCTAAGACACTTCTAATTTAATTTGAACAGTCGTAAAAGTAATGGCTTGTGTTTTATTCTGGCATTATGTGCATAACGTTTGTATTTTTTTTGTGTTCAATTCAGTTTTCCTGGGTTTTTCCCACAATACTACAGTGATTTTGAGTCGGGCTCTGAGGGCTACCAAACATGTTTTTGGGCATTTTGTATAGAAACGGTGTTAGTCCTACTTCTAACTTCTTCCTTTTTTAGTGCTTGGGAGTACCACTCTTTCCCTTACATCTATTCCCACAGAACAATAACGAGCCGACAGGAAACGTATCTACAGTCCTCATGGATGTTATGTCATAAAACCCTCCACTGCTCCCTGGACAAGTTAAGTCTTTCATGATGCCAACGACCTGCAGCCAACAGCTTCCAACTTCACCCTGCTACAACCTTTCTGAAAAATGGTTTTGTCTCGTCATGAATTTTTGATATGATCGACGCCTTAAGAGACGGTACAATTGCATCCGATAGCAAAGAAGGCATAACAGAAAAACATAGACAAGCACAAAGACATAGTGATCTAATGAGTAGAGAAACATGAATACAATAAGGGATCATTAGGTTGTAGTTGAAGGTTAGTGAAAGGTAAAAATACGGTAGTGAAAACACATTCTGTGAAGGTTTGGGTCAGCCATCCAAATGAGTGTGGGGAGGAGAGGGTACCATTTGTGTGTTATAGCAATGCCATGTTGGGATAATTACGTTAGTGACAGAGGCTGCTGCAGCAGTGGTTGTTAGCGCATCATCACGGCCACCAGTGGATGTGTAGGCAGAGACATGGCTGAGGGTGGGCGATGGCGTGGGTGAGGTGCCAGGTGAGTCCAGGCTACAGATCTGCAGCTCGTCCAGCAGACCCGCCGTGGACGACGAGTAGTGGCTGAGAGCTGACACCGTCACGGGGGAGGCCGAGGACGACACGCAGCCCCCGATGCTCATACTGCTTATTGTGGGAAGGCCCGGCCTGCTGGCTGCACCAGCTCTACTGGGAACGTACGGGGTGGGCGATAGAGCCTTGTGCATTAGGCCTGACAGGTAGTAGAGTGACTCTGAGCTGTGGCAGCGATAGGGGGAGTGCGGTGCTGTTGGGTCAGGGGAGGGAGGGCCCTGGTGTTGAGAGGGGGAGGGGAGAGGGGGATGGGGGAGGGAGTTGATTGGAAAAGGAGGAAAGGAGTAGAGGCGCTTAGTGAGGTCACTCATTTGCCACGATGTCACACGTGATGTGTGGAAGCAACACGTGAGCCTAACAGAAGGTGAAATGCTGCTGTGAAACCACACGGAAGTGTCACCAGGCTGCAGCATCTTTCTATGAAATGGGATTAATGCTGTGAATCGAAGAGGGTCTGTTAGTTCAAACTCTGTGGAAGGCAGCAAATACAGAGTATACAGACATTAACAGTGACAGAAATAAATGAAATAGTTGGTTATCACAGAAACAGTATGAGTTCACACATTATGTAGAACCAAAAATGAGTTTGGTTGGTCAGATGGCAGCACCAAGCCTAACGACCTAAAGGGCAACACACACGAGCAGCACACTGTATGACTGCAGTTCTTGTTTTCTAAATGAGGCCAAACACCAGTGTTGGAACACCGCTGTCATACGACCCGGTGTTCGTATGCGTCATGACACGAGAAAAACAGCAGTTATATCACATTTAGCCTCTGAATTTGGCACATCCCGGCTACTGTAGCTTGACTACTTTGTCAGTTTGCATGGCACGTTTGGTGTGCGCGTGTGTGGGTGCGTCAAACGATGTGACGCAGCCAGTGTGTTACCCTTTTATCACTCTTGATGTCACCAAGACAAAAACCCAGCAATGGCGTATTTAAGTGGCCTTAAAATGGACACAATCACTGCTTTTGTTAAATTATGTCGTCAGTTATGTACCAACAGCTCTGCAGGAGAAGGTCTTGGTGGAACTGCAGGAGGAGCCTTCATTATCTCCACCTGGGCTGGAGTTCGGCTCAGGGTTTGATCTGGGGCTCGATCTGGGACCTTTAGCTCCGTTGTGGTGCTTGAAGCCCGACGCTCCGGATGTTTGAGATCCTCCGGGCCCAAGCGGACAGAGAGCGTGGCCGCCTGTGTCAGGGGTTGAGACGGAGTGGGACCCCTTTGTGGAGGCGGGGAAGTCGGTGGAGGGGAACCTGTGGTCTGGGTCTTAGGTTGGGGGTGAAGGTAGGAGTTGCGGTGAGCCGGGGGGTCGGGGATGGTGACAGGGGTTAGTTTGAGGGAAGACACCTTACGCTCCTGGGCCTGTGAATTAGTGGTGGCAGATGCACTAGAGCTGCTCATGTCATCCAGGAGAGTGGACTGGTGTGCCTGCTGGACTGAGTTTGCGTTGGTCTCCAAGTAAGAGTAAGAGGAGGTGCTACTAATAGTGTAGGACTCTTTCAAAACTGCCTTCCCATTCTGCGTGAATGTTAGCGTCCCAGGGGTAAAATCATTAGCCAGGGCACCAAGGGAGCTGTAGTCAGGCGGATTAGTGCCCGTGGGTGAGAAGTATAAACTCTCTCTTCTGGGGGGTGGCAATGGCACATGACTCATATCCTTATTGGCCAATTAGAAAGCAACAACCAACGTAAGTTCAAACAACAACAAAGAAAAAGAATCAGTGCAAAGCTTGACACAAATCATCAAGTTGTTCCAAATACATACTAGGAAATACTGCATGGTTCTGTGTAAATTACACTAGAATACACTTTTCACACAGACCTGTTTTGATTCAACTCCAACAGCTTTAATGCCAACATGTGTCAGAGTGACGTGCGAGACATTTCACCTGTGTTGGGGACTTTTTGTCCTGCAGGTTGGGTCTGACACTGCGGAAGCCTTTGGCAGCAAGAGATGAGCTGCTGGCGTCTCCATTCCTAAAGTCATCTGTTGCACTGCGTGACCGCCAAGAATCTGGAAATGGAGTTGATAATATTAACATCACGTACTGCAGTGTTTTCATTAAGTTCTCTGGTCTCCAATGGGGTTCTTTCCCAGCATTTGTATACATTTTATTTCCTCCAAAGAGTCTCATCTCCAATTGAACACAAGGAACAGAGACTTACCCAAGTCTGATGAGTGAGAATCACTCCCTGGGGAACAGAGAAGACACAGCAACAATAAGTGACATGAGTGAATGCGTGGTCACTTTCATCCCTGCAAAAGACGACAATACCACTGCATAGGGTTACATCTAAAGCAGTCTTCATGTCACAAGACGGGGTAAGGGAGTAGACAAAGCTCTGAAAAGACACAAACTGAACTTTTGAAGATGGAAAAATGAAAACTACACCAATTCGCAGGCAAACTATTGGTTAGGACTTAAGGTTTAAAATATAGAGGAGAAGAGCTTAAGGAATTTCATGCACATGGAGACTCGATAGACCACTTCACTCCCAAGTCTAATAAAGGAAACAATCCTCCAGAGCACACTAATGTGAGCCCCATTATTGAACACAAAGAATACAATCCACACAGCAGAATGACCACTGTGCACGGAGCCACGCTTAAAAGGGTAGTTTCGGTTTATTTCACCCTGGCATATTTCCAATAAATGTGGTTATTGTGGCTCTATGGGTTGTGCACTCACCACTTGATAATTATTCTGATTATGACCGTCTCTGTCGATTGATTCCACATGGCTGGTTATGTTAGCTAGCTCACAGCAATATAAACAGCTGGTTTTACTCGTGGAGATATGGCTCAATCTGGAACAAAAACGGAACTGGCTCCTTAACCTCCATTACCCCCTCGTCTGTAGTTGGAACCATCCCAGAGCCTACTTTCTGTTTTTCTAGGGACCAGCGTTGCATATTCTGGAGTGTGAACTCCCAAGTGTAACAGTATGCTAAACAGCAATGCTGAGTGTACTGTACACCCCTGCCAAGGCTGAGGGTCCCTCAGAGGCTGACGCCTGCACAATAACGCTCTAGTAGCTTCACGGTGGTTTGATCAGTTCCACCATGCTCCTAAACACTCCATATCGGACAACCGCTCATCGGTTTTCAGACAGAGCCCTGCTCTTGTTTAAAAGAAGGCTGACGATGCTAGAATGCAGACTTTGGTGCAGCCGTTAACCTAGATGCTGACAGAGTCCAGACACAAACGCTGCTCTTTCAGCGGAGTAAAGGAATAGCTGGGGACGACCAGCTGTAGCGTCTGGAAGCTGAGAGGATACTTAAGGTTATGCTCTTCCCCCTGCTACGTAAAAAAAAATCTCTCTTCAGTTATTCAACTCTACTTGACCTGTAATTTCAAATCATGTGTGAAAAGAAATGGGCAACAGGAGGAAGGGGCTTCTACATACAGCAGATCTACAGTAAGTTTGCTGAACCACTGATCGGGAGCAATTAAGAAGAAGAAGAAAAGAAGAAACCATTTTTATTGTCATACACAAAATTTGCCTTCTGCATTTGACCCATCTCTGTATATAGGGAGCAGTGGGCTGCCAATGACAGGCGCCCGGGGAGCCAGGGGTTCAGTGTCTTGCTCAGGGACACTACGACACGTGACACGTCCCAGTCAAGGATTGAACCGTTGACCCTGCGGTTGCCAGACAACCCTCTTAACCCAGTGAGCCACGGTCATCCCCCAATTAAGCAGAATGGTGCCGTTTTAGTCGACACACAAGCCCATTTCCAAGAACATATCCACGTTCTCCAGGAGCCCAGGGTCAACGGAGCTCTAACCAGTTAATGTCGACAGAGGAGAACGAGTAGCGGACAAAAACAACCTTAGACAACAGGAAGAGAACAGTAAACTACCCATAAAGAGGGGGAGATGGAGCTGTGTGAGAGCATGAAACATGAGAGCTTTTAGAAGGAAGGAAGATTCAACAACAGGTAGGTGCAGTTTAAGTTATGACTGATTTAGGAAGCAAAAACAAGCCCAGGACGGGACAGACTCAACAAAAGGAAATGAAAGGATTATGCAACAAACTGATTTGGCAAAAAACAAATAGCATCCTGCAGTCCAAACATTGTTTCAGCATACAGAGGCAGCCATAGCCGTATGCTCAAGCCATATCAGGGGTGATGAAGGCCAAACATGACTGAGAAACGAGCCACTTTTTAAAGACTTACCTCATGCTTTGATAGTTTAAGCAATTCAATACCTGAAGTGGCTACTTCTATACAAGTCTTCCCATTCAAACGGGTTCATTTGTTGTGTGTTTGCGGGAGTGTTAGTACCTGAGCCTAGATTTGGTGAGCTCTGGACCCTCTTCATGGGAGAGAGCATGAGTGACAAGGCCGCGCTTTTGCGAGAGCATCCTCCGCTATCTGAGAAATCACAGCCAGGCAGGTGATCACAGAGGCCGAAGCAGCAGCACACATGCACATGCACGGACGCGAAGACACGAATGCACACACGAATGCGTCCAGGCAGAAACAAAAAACGCAAACAGGTGGAGGCAAAGCACATGCGTTTAAAGAGCCTGTACAGCAAAATTTCAAATCATTTGTAATTGTAGAAGTTTGAAGATTTAAAACAACAACAAAAGTTTACCCACATATTTTTCGAGCAAACGCTTAGATGACTTTACACTGAAGCTACTGGTCAATACAGGTGGTTTCAACTCTGTGCGTCCAACTCTGGTCTAACTGGTGGCTTTATTGGTCGTCTTTCAGCACATATTTTTGTCAACCTTCTCTATTGTAAATACAGGCAAACAACTAAGATGAGAGCAGCCACAGAGCGGTGGTGTGTGTGGTGATCACTCATTGATTCTCCAGCTGCAATACACACTTTAGCTCGGGACGACTGCCAAGTTCAGGACAAAAGCTTTGGGAATGTGTTGATGGAGGAATACGTCACTGTGGTTAAAAAGCAACAGGGTCACTATACTTATTGGTGCTTTCAGTCACAATAAACACGGCCTGAAATAGAAAATCACCAAAGTGGTGAAACGGGGTCGGGATCAGAATGGCAGCTTTTATAATAGCTAGGAGGTCTGAAATGTGGAAACATATTGACTGTTTTTGTAAAGAATCAAGTTAAATGAATAGTTTTGTGTTCAGTTCATTTGTAATACAAGAAATACAATTTGTATTGCAAAAATTAAAATATTATTCTGCTTTGCCAAACAAAAATGATGGACAACAATTTTAAACAGTGCCTGGTTTGTGTGTGTGCAGGTGCGCATGCTTAAATACCTGTATTCATATTGAAGAGCACTTCTTACTGATCTGCTGCAGGGGGACACACTTTCCTGTAAAACAAAGAATCAAAGCATTTCAGAAATACAATAAACATCTTGTTAAACAGCTAGTTGACTGTTTAAAAACAGAGCAAAGCTAGGATTGTTCCAGTGATTTACATTCACAAAATAATCTTCCTGAGACTGCTACAATAAAGAATTCAGCTGTTGCGATTACAGGAGGCAATCTCATTTAATGTCGCATGAAATCTTTTGACTCAAATCCCAAATATAAGCATTTATTTTGGAAACCTGCCAGTTTCCCACTGCCCACTCGGTCACTTTGATTCAAATCACACGACTTAAAAGAGCCAAAATCTCTGTGCAGGAAAAGGTCTGCAGAGATTAATGATGTTTAGGAATAGGGACGGCTGTGTGGGCTCGATTTCTACTGAGCTTTCACACATCTCACTTTTCCAACGTTGAGAAAAGCTGAGCTAAAGGCTAAAGTGCAGACCTCCTGGTGACCGTTAACTGCACTCCAGGCAAATTAAAGTGGCAATAAGACCTCAGAGCAACCATCCACATTTGTTCAACGATTCATATGCAGTCAGCTGAAATGGCAATTCGGTCTGATTATCAGGCTGAGGTGGTGTAGACATGTGATCGTCAACAAAAGGTGCTGCCAAAGTCAGGCCCCTAGCACCCTGAAGAGAACAGGAGGGTTAGAAAAGTCATGGATACTGTGGCATGGCTATGTATCACCAACAGATACTGATCCAGATGTTTAGGAATGCCTCAGAAAGATAACATCATTATTTTTGATATGTCTACTAAGTGTTTTCAAGAGGAGCAGCAATGTTCTTCAACTGTCTGAGATTTAGTGCAGCAAAAAAAAGATCACTTTATTCTCTAGTTAACTTGATTTACTACGCAGCACTGGACAAAAAAAAGTAAACGTTTGAATGAAATCAACACGTACTGCCTGTCATGTTCACAAAGATGTTTAAGCCAAAGCCTAAAGCCGTGGAATCCAAATGTGGGAACATAACTTCTTCCAGCTGAGAGACTTAATGACCGTAGCAAATGTTTCACAGCACAAAGATGAAACAAACGATGTAAATGATAGATACAGAATGCCATGTTTACTTAACTGTACCTCTGTGCGACGCCTGTCTCATGCTATATGGAGACCTTTCTTTCTTGGAACTGTTAGGGTGCGTGATTGATATGAAAAGCCAAAGGCGCAAAACAGACCGGTGCATCGCTGCTTGAATGCATGCGCATGTGTGTGTCATCACGGGACTTAGTGTGCATGACAGATACTGCAAGTGACAGCCTGCAGTGGCTGCGGCAGGGATCACACATGTCTGGTATGTAAATAACTGACACACACACACACACACACGGTTAACCTTGACTCACACACATACATGTAGATATTGTTGTGAGGTTATGGGAATGTGATGTACAGTAGCTGCAGGCTCCAGAACTCTTTTACTGATGATACATGCACCTATATAGTGGTTTTAATCCTGAGAAGAGAGCGTCTGTGTTGTCACATGACTTTTTTTCCTTGGAATATTCTTGTCTATTACAAACCACCACCGTTAATCTGGCAGCTGCTAATACTGTACACAACAATATGTTCAGTTACAATAGAGCAGAGCATACACCTAATTGTATACCTGGAGTACTCGGCTGTGTCTCCTTCAGTGCCCCAAGTGAGTAATTCTGTACAAATGATGTGACACTACAGAACATAACATCTATGTCTGGATTTGTAAACAGAGATTGTGTTCGCCTGTCTGTGAGTGGTGATCGTCCCAAGACATAAAGTCTGTGTGATGATGAAAGCACACACAGTTTGTGCCTGAACTCCTGTTGAATCCTGTCACCGCTCTGGGTATGAAAAAAACCGACAACGCATTAAAAAATTATGCTTTTTGCTTCAACACTATCACGACTCACGTGCTTCACATCGACAGGTAAAGTCCCGATGGTATGCATGTATATTCTGACATGAATGTGTGAACTGCCTCAGCAGTTGGCTCTGGTGATGAATGGCACTAGATGCATGGCGTAACATTGACAAGTACAGTATTTGACCATGCTGGAAACTTTAAAAAGGCAAACACACTAGGCTTGGGCGGTATCTGTTAGGCCTGGGCAGATATATTGTTATCTGATTTCTTTAAACTCGCAAATATCTTTATCAGCATTGGCCTCAAAAGTCCAGTGCAAGTCAGGCTATAATTAGAACATTAAAAGGGCCTGTAATGTACGTCAAGGTTATCACTTTGTCTCCATGCTGACACAATACCTTGAGGACAAAGTTAAGCTTTGTTTATACTCGCACTTGGTGCCGTAGCGTGAGCCTGTACAGACTATACTCTCTGCGCTGTTCGCTGCATTAGTCCCCGAAACACCAGAGGGCGTACAAACAAAATGAACTGTGAAGAATCAAAAAGACAACGAGTGTAACCCATAGACTGTAGGTAGCGATAAACCGACCTCCACAATGCCGAGGAGGGATTGTAATTATCTGTAAACTCTTATCGCATATTCATGGACTTTAATGCCTTTGTACAAGTAAACTATTTGATTTGGCTGGAAAAATATTAATTTAAATGAAGATTTTTAAGACCAGCTGTTTCTAAAGCGTCTAAAAACGAATTGGTCTTCTTTGTATAATCCCTTGAGACACAAATATTCAGAGGGGACACGACTAAGTCAATAAATAAGTCAATAACAATAACCAAATCAATAACTCATCCTCGTCAACCCACATATAGCTACAACTACTTCATTGGCACCATGTGAGACACAGTTAACGCTGGTCAGGAGGAAACATTATTACTTGTGGTACTACATCAAGCCATGCACCGTGGGATACTTTCAGCCCCTGAAGACCTCACCCTCATCCAGAGCGCACTCGTAAATCTATCTCCGAAAAACACACACACACACACACATACACACGCACGCATGGGGGTAAATCATGGGTCTGGCGTCGCAGGCAGTCAGCGTCCAAATGATGGTCAGATTATAAACAGGATCATGTTTCTTGGGGACAGATCGGCGGCGACACAGCAGCTGTGGCCGTGGTGTAATGTTATGGCTGCACACTTGAAGGAACCCCGCCAGGCTCTACACCTCCAAGTGACTCTCACTATCTGTTCAGGCCTTTTAAGCTTTTAAATCACCAAATGGGCAGCCCCTCTCTAAAGCCGGAGATAGATCATTAGCAGCTCATGCATTTTTTTCAGCATGTGTACAGTTTGCTAGATGCCAATGTTGCCATTAATACTCTTGCAGCTCTTCTCTGCTTAATGTAATATTTACAAAGTGTGGGTATGAATGTGAACAGACCAAACACTTGTTATCTTATCATTTCTAAGAATGAATTAACTTAAAATGCCACTACCCACAACTCTTCTCTACATTGAGAGCTATTTTATCTTTACACAATAGATGAATAACAAACAGGAGACCATCATTTACCAAGAGTTTTAAATTCCTGTCCTGTGTTAAGTGTCTTTACTTTCTTACCGTGGTTTATCCACCGACTGTAATTTAGGCATTGGTGGGTGCATATAATTACTGGACTGCAAATACCCAAGTCAGAGCTATAAGCCACAGAAAGCAATGATGTCCAACACCACAAGCCCATCAAGTGTCATTAGTCTGCCGAGTGACCGACTGGGACCCATTCGGTTCATATCAGCGGACTTAAAGGGTTTGAGCTTTGACTCCTTTTGAAACTCAAGACACTGTGGTGACTACAGTACGTTAGTAGGCTCATCCTCCTTTGTTTCTTTATTAGAAGAACGTCACTATTGATTTGAGCTCATCAGAAGAAAGTCTTGCCATTTTCCTCCCGTGTATGTTTCCACAACAGAAGAGTTTTAATAATATCGTTGACCTCGACAAGACCCTTGCAGACACAAATTCAATATTAAAGACATTAGATCATTTGCGGTGAGTAATCTATATCTGTGCTACTTAAATGATCTCATAGAATCTGTGTGTAGACGGCATTAAGATGACAAAGCAAAACTCAATCAATGCCACGAGAGAAGGCGGTTAAAGCATATCCTTAAATGTCACATCCTTATTAACAAAAGTTACACTGAAAGAATGTTCTGAAAAACAATGACATGGTGAAAAATGTGAACCAGACAGTGTGATGGAAACACAAAAGGAAGGAAAGTAAAACACAAACAATGCACTGGCCGGGATGCCATTAGTCACTGGCAGTCTGCCTTGGCATCAAAACAAGTCTACAAACAATGATGTCACCTTCGTTCCATGGGAAATGCTAACAATGAAAAAAAAAATGAATAATGATGAAGCAATATTTAAGAATTTGCCAAAACTTTTTTCAATTTGGTGCTTACTGTAAACGGCTATGGATGGACGTCCATAGAAATGGCAAATTTCCATTTAATTTGTTTGATTTCAGAATGGCTTTTTAAGTCCTTGTGTGTGTGTGTGTCTGTGTGTCTGGGTGGGTGTGTGGGTGCATGTGAGTGGACAGCAGGAGAGAGTGAACAATCATTGGAGATAAGCCGCCTATGGCTCCAAGGGTCCTGACCCTGGAGTGGTCACTCAGACTGAAACACACTCACAGATTAAAGCTCCTTAGAGAATCTATTTAAAGGCCGAACCAACAACTCATCAGATAGACACTTTATGTTCAGCTGGTCTATGTACCAATGATTATCAGCTGCTGAAAGCTTGATAAGGTATTTTAAAGAATACAAATAAAGAAATATTCATGGACACCAGGGGCAATATTCTGCAAGAACGATTCAATCGGTGAGTAGGGGGGATCAGAGAGAACAAATCCCTTTTAAACAAGGCAACAGAATGTCCCCAGAGATCCAACATCAATCTCGGTGGAGACACGGCTGGTCTGAGAGTGATCTCTCCAAAAAAGGAAGAATTTAGAACTTCATTCCTGAATTGGAGCCAAATTATTTTCGTGGTGCATTTTTGTGGTGGAGTGCAGCGTTGTGGTTAGAGGAAAAAAAACAGAAAAGGCTTGGGAATCAAAATAAGAGTTTAGC